GAGACCACATACCCTTACCATCCTAGGGTCAAAATATCACAAGCACTTACCCATCCTTGGGTCATAATATCAAATAACCTTACCACCCTAGGTTCATAATATCAGATGCCCTGACCACCCTAGGGTTATAACACCACTTACCCTTACCATCCTAGGGTCTTGAGATCGCATACTCTTACCACCCTAGGTTCATAAGACCACATACCCTTACCACCGTAGGGTCATAACATCATAAGGCCTTACCACCTTAGTGTCATAATAACACATACCCTTACCACCCTAGGTTCAAGAGACAACATAACCTTACCACCCTATTGCCATAACCTCAAAAGGCCTTAGCACCTGAGGGTAATATCACAAGCCCTTACCACCCTAGGTTGATAAGACCACATAACCTGACCACCCTAGGGTCATGAGATCACATAACCTTACCACCCTAGGTTCATAATATCACAAACCCTTACCACCCTAGGTAAGTCCTAGGGTCATGAGATTACAAGCCCTTACGACCCTAGGGTCATCATATCACTAGCCCTTACCACTCTAGGATAATAACACCACACGCCCTTACCACACTAGGGTCATAATATCACTAGCCCTTGCCACACTAGGGTCATGACATCACAAAATCTTACCAGGGCCTAGAGTTATACCTAGGGTAAGGCCTAGAGTTAGACCTAGAGTAACGCCCAGGTCTTATATCTCGAGGGTTGTAAGGGTTTTTGGTCCCACTGGGTAGTATGGGAATATGGTCTTGTATCTCTACGATGGTAAGGGTTTGTGGTCTTGTATCTCTAGGGTGGTAAGGGTTGTGGTCTTGTATCTCTAGGGTGGTAAGGGTTTGTGGTCTTGTATCTCTAGGGTGGTAAGGGTTTGTGGTCTTGTATCTCTATGGTGGTAAGGGTTTGTTGTCTAAGACCTCTAGGGTGGTAAGAGTTTGTAGTCTTGTATCTCTAGGGTGGAAAGAGTTTGTGGTCTTGTATCTCTAGGGTGGTAAGAGTTTGCGGTCTTGTATCTCTAGGAGTAGTATAAGAGTATATAGATAGGGGGCACTTTTTATAATTTAAAAAAAAATTAAATTATAAAAACCGCCCCCTATCTATATACTCTTATACTACTCTTTTTCTTGCAGCGCCCCCCAAACAAACAACCCCACCAGGCACGCGATTAATAAACCCAGAGCCTATAGGGGTACGTGTTTACCAACCCCCAAGCGCCCAAGGCCAATAATATCTTCAAATTAACTCATTTTAAAACACGAACAACAAAAATTCGAAGGAGACGGTTTTATTCTCAGCTCTATCATCTCTCATCCCAAAAGTAGCCAACTTTGTCTCAAAAAACAAATCCCTTATTTCCTCAGAAGCGCAAGCTCTTGGATCTGTAGCAAAAGCAGGAGTAAATATAAGCGAAACAGTTAAAAGATCTAAAGAGTCGAAAGAATTACAACATATAAGAGAAATGCGAAATAAAAGATTAGAAAGCAAAAAAGGCAATGGTTTTAATATCATTGGATAAAAATGTCCATGTGAATTGCTCAAACTCCTAAAACTTATATCGGTTCCGACATTCAAAAATCATTAGGTTCTCTTCCTGGATTTCCATGGGCAAAATACCCCAGACAAAAACATCTTCCCGGTCATAATTACACTGGTCCAGGTACAAGGTTAGCTCTACGATTAGACCAAAATGATAAACCCAAACCGGGCGAAGAACCGGTCAATAGAGTTGACGCCGCTGCACTTAAACACGATATATTATACAGAAATAAAGACATAACATCCAGACACGAAGCAGACAAACAAATGATAATATATATTCATTATAAATATTACAAATCCAACTTTCAAAGAGAGAATGCATAGAGCATTAATCATTAAACTCTTGAAAGCAAAGATGAAAATGGGTATGGGAATAGCAGATGAAATACATAAAGAATTTAGAAAAAATAAACATTTTTTAAAAGTCAAAGTGTTTGATAAAGATGAAATATGGTCAGCAGATTTAATTAATATGCCTGTTGAAAGAGGATATAAATATTGCTTAACAGTTATAGATTTGTACACAAGATATACTTGGGTTATTCCTCTCAAAAACAAAACAAGATTATCAGTCAAACACGCATTTGAAACAATAATGAAACAATCTGACAGACGACCTCAAAAGTTATGGGTAGATAAAGAAAGTGAATTTTATAATAAAAATATGAAATCTCTAGAATTTGAAATTTACAGTACTCATAACGAAGGTAAAGCTGTAGTAATAGAAAGATTTAACAGGACTCTTAAAAATAAATTATTCAAAAAGTTCACGGAATTGAAATCCCAAAAATGGCTTAAAATATTATTGTAGATGAATACAATAACAAAATTCATTCATCTATAGGTGTCACACCAACACAAGCCTCAAATAATCTAAATATTATAAAGTCAATTAACGCACAACATAACTACGAAAATGAAATAAATAATTTAAATATCAAACCCAAAAGTCAGAGATCGAGTTCGTATTTTCAAATATAAAAGCAAATTCGAAAAAGGCTACGTTGGATTTTGGACCAATGAAATATTTATCGTAGATAAAGTAAACAGCACATCACCTCCGACATATGAATTAATCGATCAAGACGAAGAACAAATCATAGGTAGGTTCTATCAAAACGAACTTCAAAAAACTGACTTTTAAATATGAATGAATTTCTCGATAAATATGGAACCGATACAACCACAAACTTTCAACTTATGAGATGGGCGAATGAGTTAAATATATCACCGTTTTATTATTGTATGAGAGATGAAATAAATAATCTCAAATATAAGAAAGGTAAATTTTATGCGATACCAAATATACACTTCCGATCAAAACGTAGTTCATCACTCTGCTTTATACAAAGACTCTTTAAATTTATTTCTTCGATTCTTTTGGATTAGAACCAACTGAAGAGATAATGCAATTAGTGAAAGCAATCAAATGTTCAACATTTCAAATTCAAATACCGGGTCAAAAATTTTGTGGTCAACTTTCACTTTGGGTTTTTCGAAGAAATTATAATAAATTTGGATTAGGTTCTTTACCTTTAGAAACTAAAAAACCTAACACTACAGCATGGATAAATAAAGCAAAACCTTATTTTGTGGAACAAATTGGAGACACACCTCAAGGTGATTTAGATATGAATAATTTTACCATAACTAATTTAAAGTTACCAGAATATGATAATGATGCTGTTCACAAGAAATATTTAATGGATCAATTAAATTTAATTGAAGTAAATAAAGAACATTTAAAAGAAAGAATAAATGATGTGAAAAAATTCTTCAAACGACAAATGAATAATAAAGATTTTATTGATGATACTAAATTACGACAAGAAGTAACAAGTTTGAAAAGTTTTATTCAACAACAATTACTTAATGTAGTAGATAAAACTCAATTACAACCTTTAAGTTCATTAATATCTAATTTAGATGATAAGATTACAAAACAAAAAGTAGATCTTAAACAACTAATAGTCAATATTAATCCAGGTATAAGTGAAGATAAATTAACAACATTAGAAACTAAACTTATTGATAATAGTGAAATACAAAAACAAATAGTTGGTATTAAACAACAATTACTTAATGTAGTAGATAAAACTCAATTAGAAAATTTAAAATCATTAATATCTAAATTAGATGATAAGATAACAAAACGTGTTATTTTCAAATATTATCAAGGCTGTTTCCAATAAATTTTTAACATTTAAAGGACAAATTGAAATAGATGGAGAGATATTTCAAGATGGAAAGCACAAACAATTTATGAAACTTCTTGGTTTTAATGCCGAAACGTTTCATACTATCTGTAGAAATATGGAAGAAAAATCTGACCCTTCTGATTGGTACTTTACAGGAAGTATCTTTTTACTTAAAGACAATTTTAAAGAAATTAAAAGATCAAAAGTTGGAAGAGAAACGGAACTACTCAAAAAAATAAATGAATATATAGGTGAAAATTGTTACATACCAACAGATGGTAACTGTTTTATCAAATGTGTAAACTATGTTTTAAACAAAGATTTAACAAATGAATTTCAAAATTTCATCAATGGTTTCTCAAAAGCAAATAGAAAAGGAGTGATGACATCTGCTAGAATTAATGAATTCAATAATAAATGTGATATTTCATTTAAAATTTATACTCATAATAATAGAAATTTGCGCCCCGCAATTGTAAAAGAGGAATTAGATTGGGTTTTATATTTACACAACTCACATTTCTGTCTTATAAGAAGAAATAAAAAAAGTTTGGGTATTAAAGAAATAGAAGGTAATTATGAACAAGTATGGAAAATGTGTAGAGACGATAACGCAGTAACACAGGTTTCACCTCTGAAACTAAACGTGTTTTCAAGTATAAGTGATGTTGGGTTATTTGCTTGGGATTGTGAAACATATTCAGAAAGTGAAACGCGTAAAGCGATTCCTTATGCGTGTACGTTAATCAATTTAGAAAAACTGAGAAAAATGTTAGACAGAATAAATAATCTCTTTCCAGATTTAAATCCTACAGATAATGTTCCAGAAGAATTTTATGATAAACTAATGAATATAGTAGAAATATTTGTAGGTCAATATGATAGAAAGAGATTAATATTAATTTCTCATAACGGTAGCAATTTTGATAACTGGATCGTGCTTAAAAATATAAAAAAAAAATAACACAATGCCCTTTAAAAACACCCAGAGGAATTCTATCTTTACCTTTATCTAATCCATACACAGACGAAGATTTACAGAAAAAATGGAAAAGACAGAAAGAAATAACAAGTAATAATAATTATTTACAACATATTAATTGCACATGTTCCTATCAACATGAAACATCTAGTTTAGAGGCATGGGTAATTCATCTAATCTACCAATGAATTTGAGAAAGATCACTGATGTCAATGTTGCAAAATATACCAAAGATAACTGGGAATCTTTAAGACATGAATGGGAACCATATGCAAAAAGAGATACGTTATGTCTTGGAAGTTGTTTAATAAAATATAACCAAGTAACGAAAGAAGTTGTAAACCAAAATATGTCCAATAATCTAACGACTCCATCTTTATGTTTTAAGGGTTGGTATTATTTGTATCATTATGATAAAGAAATGGTTGAAGAAGAATGGTATGAAACTACTAGAATGGTTCCGAAACATACTGGAAAGAAAAGTTTATTCGCACACTAATCCTTTTATAAGACATTTTATCAGACGATCTATTAAAGGAGGAAGAGTTCCGGCAAATAGAAAAATATTTGAAACGAACAAAATGGATGAAATTTGTAATGTATTAAAGGAATTTATTTCACTCTTATACTACTTCTAGAGTGGTAAGAGTTTGTAGCCTTGTATCTCTAGGGTGTTAAGAGTTTGTGGTCTTGTATCTCTAGGGTGGTAAGGGTTGTGGTCTTGTATCTCTAGGGTGGTAAGGGTTGGGGTCTTGTATCTCTAGGGTGGTAAGGGTTGTGGTCTTGTATCTCTAGGGTGGTAAGGGTTGTGATCTTGTATCTCTACGATGGTAAGGATCTGTGGTCTTGTACCTTTA